CCATTGGCAGGGATGCCTTTCACTAGAGCATGTCACCCAAGGCTCTGCCCATCCTGGCCTTTGAATACATCCAGGGAGGGAGCATTCAGAACTTCACTGGGCAACCCATTCCAGTGCCTCACCACCCTCACGGTAAAGAACTTCTTCCTTATATCCAACCTGAACTTTCCCTATTTAAGTTTAAACTCATTTCCCCTTGTCCAATCACTACAGTCCCTGATGAAGAGTCCCTCCCTGGCATCCATATATATTAGTACAACATAATAATACTTAATCTGCATTGAAAGAGCATGGAAAATTAATTCTGATTAAAACATTTACGCATTTTTCTTAAAGGAAGGCTCAGACGTTGAATTCATAACTAAACACAAATAACAACACTAGTTTATTTAAAAAGACTTATTAATGTCAAGACTCAGTCCTCTAGCACTGCTAGATGTTGTTCCTTTGATGTGGAAGATCATGCGTTTAAGGCAAATTTTACATGCCTCAAATCGAGAGACCTGGTAAATCTTGCTGAGGCCATAAACAAGTAGTGGTCAAGTAGTTATGTTATTGCTGGATTAAAACTCTAGTTACACTTTTTGTTAGCTGGGAAAGAAGTGTTAGGTAGAAATGTCAACAGAAATAGAGGATACCTATTTAAGTTAGAAGGCAAATCTTAGTTCATCTTGTTTTCCAAGTTTTGTGTTGTGGGTGGTGTTGGTTGTGGTGGTGCTGGGTTTTTTTATTCTTACCAATTCTTAAATGATTTCTTTAAGAAACTGCAAGTAAAGAAATCATGAAAACACTGCAGGCCAGCCAGAGAGAGAGAGGGGAGTGTGTGTGCATATATATACATACATATATATAAAAAAAGAATTTGTGGAATATACTGTTGTATTCTTCATAGAGATTTCCTCAATATATTTAATCTTTTTCCTTTTATAGGTTTCCTAAGTATTTTTCTTAAACTTTATTTTCCTGTGGAGACATACAGGAAGGTTCATAATATGATCCTGAATAAATAATGTATTAAGGCATTTTGTTTCCTAAAGCCAAACCACAGATGAAATATTATTCAAGCAGCAACTGATACTTACTTTCAGCGTAGGACTGAATAGGAGAGAAATCAGAAGATACTGTTAAGCAAATTGCCTCTCTAGCTCAGAGAATTAGTCTTTTTTTATTACTATTTTAAAAGAAGAAAAATAAATTGTCTGAAGGTGGTTGTCTTTTAATAAACAGAGGAACTTAACTGTCAGAATGCTTAAGTCCTTTCCTTGGTATTTACAGCTGAAGTCCACCTTTCTTAATATGTAATAAAGCCAGGCAGGGTGATGTTGTGGCTAAACATAATCATCCTGTTGCCAGCAGCTGATGGTCTTAGAGTCACTAATTTTTTAGATCAGTGAAGAACAACCTGTTTCCTTCAAGGGTTGTAGCTTTTAATATAGACACTTGTCTGCTTAACTTGTAGGAAATATTGGGAGAAAATTAAAACTGTAATACTGTTAGAGCTAGCGTATTTGGGTGGTGCATTTGGCTGCTTCTGTAATTCAGGTCAAAGATTTTTGCATTAGTGCCAGCAGATTTGGGCTGACCTAGAGGTAGAATAAACTTAAACATACCGTGAAATACAGGCTTGGACAGGAAAGTTATGGGTGCTGAACTTGCTTCTTTGTGGCATACGTTATGGAAGGACCATGCAGATGAGAGCTATGAATGCAAACTGGAAGGTAAGGTCAAGCTGTAATGAATGTCATTAACTTATGCTGATAGAACTAAGCGCCAGCTTCATTTAGAGAGAGCCATTGGGCATTACTGCAATATGTATATTTAATAGTAATGATAATACTTGTCCAGAAAGAAGCAAGGTGGCATAAATAATAAGTGGATAGTTCAGGTTCTGTCTGCTTGTGGTTTGCAGAAGGTGTAGTGCGAGTTGCCTCCTCATCTCTGTACATATATGCTGCTGTGAGAATGTGATGTTATTCAAACAACCACATGTGCATTGCCCCGAGAGTATTACCAGTGGAGCACTGTGTGCCATTAGCTATCCTGTCATGCACGTTAGGTGGAGTTGTTGGCAGGTACTCAGAATAGCACTGGGAAGCCAGGGAATGCCCCTTTACCCCCCTGTTAAATGATTGTGTAGTTAAATCTACCTGTCAGGGCACTAAGTGAGGTGCTTCACTTCAGTATGTTTGAGCAAAGAAATCCTTCTGTATGACATCTGTAGCCTTTTCACAGCTATTAAGTTAATGTGGTGGCTTTTTGGATAAGAGTCTGTGTGTGGCAGCTTCTTTGGAGCTTGGGGTGACATAACGCACATGTTCCCATGACAGTCGTGGCAAGAGTAGCACTCCAAGTCTTCAGTAACTGGAGTGCCAGTGGAGAGTTTTGTAGCCCTGACAGAAAGAAATGTGCCCTTGCATAATAAGCAGGCACAGAGCAAGAAAAATGACAGTGATCCCCACCTACACCTTCAACTGCTGAGCTGCTGCTGTCCTTCCAGAGAAGACTTCAGTTTTTCTGGCAACTGCATTGACTGGCTGTGACTTCGGAAGAGAAGTGACAGAACCCACAGCGAATGTGGAGCTGCTTAAAAAGAACTTCAACTCTTTTTTATATGGAGATGATTCAATACTGCTAGAAAAAGTAAGCCTTGGGCCAAGAACGGCTTTTCCATGATGCAGAGAAGGCAGCTGTGCCAGAAGGGCTGTAGGCCATTTCTGACTGCCTTATCTGACTTCCCAAATGAGTAGTGTGGGTACTATCTGAGGTAGAGGAGCTTTAATAGGACAGAGGCTGAGAGTTTCCAATAGGACAAAGGCTGAGAGTGAAGCTCAATGATAAATACGCTTGCCTGAGATGAATGACACTTGAGATCCAAGCCCAAGCACACTAAACCAGTAACTTAATGATCAGATTGTTCTTGTCCCTGATTTCTCACTTTCTCAACCCCTTTCCTTCTTTTTCTTTTCAAGCAATGTCAGTTCTGGACCTAAACAGAGTTAAACATGGAATAATTCCCTTGCTACCAGCCTTCGTCAGATGTCCTTGGCATTAGCAGATGGTGGTATATGAAAGAAAAGGCAGTAATAAAATCTCTTGTCTGTAGATTCTGGTTTTGCCACAGCTTCGTAGTGAAAATAACTTGTTAGGAACCTTAACCAGCAACTAACCCATAGAATTTTGTATGGCAGTCTGAAAGACAACACCATTTGATTGTCAGAGCTGTGGAGATCAGTAATGGTGAGACTTCAGTGGCATCGCATACCTGCTTCAGATTTCAGATGTTATAATGATTAGTACCTATATGCAATGATAATTTCATCTGATGATGACTCATGATCCGGTGTTAGTCAGAAAGACAGTGATAAATGGGATGCTGAGGGTTATTTTACTAACAAGTCAATGGGTTGTTTCTCAGGGATTTGGTGATTCTGACATGAAACTTGGAGTTAGCAGCAGTGTGTTTGCAGTTGCTAGGAAAGGCATCCACCTAGCATAACCTCAGATCGTAATGCCCAGGCACTTAGCCTAATATTAGCTGCAGGGGAGAGCTTTTCCTTCTCTTGTGGGAATATAGGCAGTTTGCTCCTTCCTTCAACTTGAAAGGTGCATAATGGAGAAAAAAAGTGGTGAACTGAGTGTGCAAATTGGCCTTTTTGTACTGCCATGCATTTCTTTTGGTTTTTGTTCCTTTCTCTCTGTCCCCATGGCACAGTCTAACACCAAGGAAAGACAAGCTTTCTCCTGAGCAAGAGCAGTAATACTCTGCTCTTCATGTAGTGCACGAGAATTCACAGAAAGTGCACTATCTTGAGTCTTTTCTGAAGCTTGTGTGGCTTCTGCGTTATTCATGGAGAGTATCTGCAGTAATTTACAATGCTAAAAATGGTTTCTGGAGAGGACTATCAGTGTATTTATAGGCAGGTGATATAAATTGGATCAAATGCTCTAACAACTATGCTGGAGCACAGTTCTAGCACAGAGAAAAAAAAAAAAGTGTCTGACCACAAATAAGTTCCCAAAAATGCCTTAAGGAAGAATGTTGCATCTTAATTTAGTGGAATGGGAATTCCAGGCATGGAATAATCTAGTAGGGAAAAAATAGGGAAAGGGCTTCAAGGTGTGCTGGAGGCAACTGGAAGGATGTAACTCTTGGAAGACCATGAATGGTGACTTTGCTGATGGCCAGATAGCATACAGGATCCAAGAATGTCTTTGTTGATGTCTGATGAGTCAGAAAGCCAATGCAGTAGTGCCTTCCAAACCACT